CACAAAATGGAATGGAGCAAGGTATTCCACTCCCTCATCCGGACAGATCTGATCACGTCCAAAATCCCCAGCAGAGCATCGTCAACCGATGTCAGTTGCAGATCTGCTGCACGTCTGGTCGCATTACAACCCCTCAGTGGGAGAAACTCACTGTTGTGAACAAAAATGAGAAGCTGGTAGAGTACCAGGGGCAAGAAGCCACAACTTCTTGCTTATCCATCAACCATCCTAGGGAGGGATGAAAAATGAGAGATTAAAGAATAGAGAGATGTGCGCTGAGAGGAAAAGCGAGGAAAGGGTTTTGAGAGAAAAACCGAGCTTGAGGGCCGAGTGATGTGAGAATCACAAATAAGAAAGGGTGGGAAACAATACCCGGAGAAACTGGCTCCTCGTGCACCAAGAGGTCTCTTGCCTTTGTAACATAGCTGAGTGTGGTGTTTGTGTGTTTTTGTTTGTCTCGATTCTTGTTTTGAGTCGTTTGAGTGTCAATAGATGCGTTGAGGTTGTTTTTCCTTTGTTGAGTGGTGTTTAGGTTGTTCCACCTTTGTTTTCCGTTGTTGAGTCGTTGTGGCTGTGGTCAGTTGTAGGCTCAATACCCGGTTGAGAACCCTTTTCTCATTTCAATTTCAAAAATGAATTGTTTTGTGCTCAGAGTGCCGTGTTGTTCTCCACATTTGTGCAAAACAAGATTTTGTTCTTTCAAAAACCGTAGGGTTCAACCCGGGTCATGTGGGAACAGTAAAACCAGGACCTATCTGAAGCTATGAAAGTTTCAGGCTGCAAAGCAAAAGAAAAGAGGGAAAATGTCAGGCATTTGAGTTTGTTTCAGCTTCTGCATGTTCTGTCATTGCACCCTGTGTATTCAGAATGAGCAGTGTCTTGTATAAGCCGTGTGTTTAGAATAAACAGAATACTGTGTTATGAGCTGCATGTTCAGAATGAGCAGTGTGCTGATACGAGCTGTGTGTTAAAAGTGAACAAAATACTGTGTTGACTGTTTCACTGTTGCAAGCCAGAATGGCGATCAGAAGTGCTCTCCCTGAGTACTATTCCCCGTCAGAGTAAAGCGGTTTACCACCATTTACTCCATGAGGTGCTTTCTAGAGTGCCACTTTGTCTGTCTATTGCATTCACTTAGCATCACTCCTGTAAGGTACTCGACACCCGAAGAATAGGACGCTCGAGCGTCAAACACAAAAACTGGACCCGCTCAAGCGCAAATATACCCGCTCGAGCTCCAAGACACAACTGCAAAACTCCACCTGCTCGAGCGCAAAGGAAACTTCGCTCGAGCATAGATTACACTCTTCCAGTATTTTTACAGACATCGAACACTCGCTCGAGCGCAAGGATACCCGCTCGAGCGTAAAGAAATAAGCTCGAGCGTGAAAAACACATCTGCAGTATTTTTGTAAACGGACAAACTACTGGTGGTGTGCAAACTCCGCTCGAGCGCAAGAAGACCCGCTCGAGCAGACCACTAAAAATCTGGGCAACAAGAGTTGGGACAAAAGCTCAACCAACCTGTTTGAAACACGCTCAAGACAATTCTAAACTCAAATACAAAGAGTTAAAGGATGAAAATGAAATACAGACAACAACAAAAATCAACGGAACCGAGTCCGAAAAACAGTAAATAAGGAAGGGAAAACCAGGATTGCTATAATCTTCCCGCCTTAAAGAATTTCGTCCCTGAAATTAAGTACAAGTTTTCAAAAGTGAGTTTTCTCAATTCCCAACAATATTACAATTCAATATATATCAACCTGACCCATCACCAGTCATACCATCCCTTCTTAAGGGGCAAATTACAATATAAGTTACAACATGCATTTCCTTGAAATCCACCAATTTCAACACATATTCAATTACATACCCAATGCCAATAATATATTTGTATTTCTAAAATAGAATTAACTTATTGTAGACACCCCATTTTTGACCGACCTTAAGACTCAGACGTCACCGATTGAGCGCTCGGTGATGGTGCATATTGTGCTCGTCCAGAAGTTTCAGAGTCTCGGCTGCGAGCCTTGCCTCCGGACTTCCGGACTCTTTCATACTTTGCCTCGATTTGCGAACCAGGCTCTATTTTCTCTGTTTTCTCTTCCTGAAGGGAGGGAGAGGTCTCGTAGATCATCTCTCAGTGGCCGTAGGCTACGTTTCATGGTCGTAGGTCATTTTGCCCGTTTGGAGTCCGGTTTCTGATTTTTCGGAGCCGTTGGCCGTGTGCCTCGGTTCGGGACTGCTTAACCACCTCCGTTTGCTCCGTTTTTTGGCATGCATCTTATTTGCTCCCTTTTGAGGGACACTGTGGCTCGAGAAACCAACTTCGTGGTCGAACACCACTTCCGGTGCCCAACAGTCAGTTTTCGAGGCCTCGGGCTGCGCGTTTCGGCCCCAGAACCTTCATTTTGCATCAGTTTGGGTTCATTTCTGGCAGGGACCACTGTTTCATTGTTAAGAAGGTCGTAGAAGGGTGGAAGGCCAGTAATTGTTCTGACAACCAGTTTTATTCCTCCATCGCCCTCCGTCGCCCATTTTTCCTCACTCGAAAGCCAATGTTGACCACCCTAAGGCCACTTTTTCCAGCCCTAAACCACATATTTGTGTTGTACACACCTGGGAGGCCACCAATATTACATGGCCGGCCAGTAATTGTGTGTGACTCTTTTGAACCCCTCCTAAAAGTGGCCTTTTCTCTCTCCTGGTTCACTCTCTCCAGTTTTTGACCACATGGTTGTGTTGTGCACACATGGGAGGCCCTCTTTTTGACATGGCCGGCCATTAATCATCATTGAGCCTTTTGACCCTTGGCCGACCGGCCATGGGGAAGGCCGGCCGGCCACCTGCAACTTCAATAACCAGCCGGCCTTGATCCTCTCTCCAAGTACATTACAGATATGTATTTTGTTTCCCCCCAGATTGTGTATCCGGGGGGCTGCACTTTTGGGGGGAAAATTGAATTCATTTCCCCCCCTTTTTTCCCCCCTCTTTTCCCCCTCTTTTGCCTATATAACAGCACCTCCAGCACCCATCTGAGGGGTTACAAAAATTTGCTTTGAGGTTCCCATATTGTATCTCTCCCTCTCTACACTCTAACCCTCAAAATCTTCCAAACCCTACACCATTTCTGCACCACCACCTAGCACCATACCACCACCATCTATTCCAGCCACTTGGAGCTGTTTTCCAGAGGCAAGAAGCACCTTTTCTCAAGCCAAGAGGCTGTTGAAGTTTGGTCTACAAGGGTAAGCAATACTTTCCCTCTTTTTGAGCTTCTTTTGCATGCTTTCTAAGCCATACTTGCTTCCATTTTTGCGCTCTGACCCTAACTGAAAATAGTCATGTTTTGATGTATTTTTCATGATTGATTAAGGGTCCTTCCATGTTTAAGGTCTCTAGCTACCACTTGCTTCTTTACCTCTCATATATGCCTCTTTCTTGCATAGTATTTTAGGCTCATTTGTAAATTGTTTCGAGCTTGGTTATAAACTGAAAAGTGGCTTATTTTGATCCCTTCTTCAACATTCTTGAAGGGCTCTTCACTGTTTGAGGCTTCCTTTTTTCACTTGCCTCTTTATCCCTCTTTTGGCCTTATTTTTGCATGTTTTGTTAGCCCCTTGTGATTGTATTTTTGGGCTCTATTCCTAACTTTAAATGGCCTTATTTTGACCCCCTCTTCATTTTTGATCAAGGGGATTTTTCTGTTTGAAGCTCCCTTTTTGCTCTTTGTGTTTAAACCTCTTTTTAGGCCTTATTTTGCATAGTATTTTAGGCTTGCATGTGCACTGTTTTGGGTTTGGCCACTAACTGTAAAACACCATGTTTTGGGCCCCTTTTCAACTTTGTTGAAGGGACCTCCTCTGTTTGAGGCCAGAAACCATCACTTGCTTCTTTGTCTCCCTTTTGGCCCATTTCTTACACAATGTTTTAGGCCTCTTTGTGTTTAGAGCTGTGGCTTGTTGTAAACTGAAAAGTGCTTCATTTTGAGCCCCTCTTAAACTTTGTTGAAGGGATCTTGGCCATTTAGGGCCAGCAGCTGCTACTTGCTTCATTATCTCTCTTTTGGGGCCATTTTTGCATGTTAACTTAGCCCTATTTGTGTTCACTTTTTGGCCTAGCTTAAAACTGAAAATATGCTTTTTTTTGGACTGTCTTGATTATTTCTTCACACTTCGTGTTCAAATAATGCATGCTTTGTATAGCTATAGGCCATTGCGTGTGCCTTGTTTTGCATTTCGGGTCTCATTTCATGCATCGGGTGCCTTGTTTCCATGTTTCGGGGACATTTTGCATCACATTTCAGTACTTAAACCTGCATGTTTATATACCATATTCCGTGCCTTGCCATGCCTTGTTAGAGTGGCATTTGTGCCTTAGGATCGGTCCTCGGTTTGCTTGCATGTGTGCACGCATTTCGAGTTGTCTCTTTTTTCATCTCATGGCCTCCTATGTGAGTGTGGCTGAGGTCCACTCATGTTGGTGTAAGTAGCAAATAAAATTTTCAACAAATTAATCATGATCACCTGTTGTATCTGTTTCAAGGAAACATCGAAGATATATTATAGTTTCGTTACCACTTGCCCTTTAAATAACAAAAAGGTGGAATGGGTCATCTTTTTGTTTTTTGGTTTCATTTTTTTGTTTTAAGATTACAAGCATGGATTATTCATAATCACAAGGTTCTATAAATTGGCCAATATTTTTTAAATATAAGAGTTAATTTTGATTGGTACTTATGAAGTCATAACATAGGTTATATTCCCCACTATTAGGCATTTTTCTTGTTATGTTATGAAGTTACTCTATAACTCCACAAACTTCATATGAAGTTCTACACATTTATTTGTTCAAAAATTCTCTCTAACTCGTCACATCAAAATACCTTTCAAAATGAGATTTTCATACTCCCCACCTGAACACAAGAATCATTATTTAAATGGATTATGAAAACAAAATATCAACACAAACAAATAAATAAATATCAAGTACACACCTAGTTCATTCAATTGGTTGCAGGAAGGTAGATCCTAATGGTATCTTTGAAGGTGATTTTTCTCCGACAGGTGGGGCATTTACCCTGAGCAGCTATTGCAGTCTTAATGCATGACTTACAGAAAATATGACCACACTTAGTTGACATCTCCTCAACTAATGGGCCTATGCATACTGGACAGCTGAAGGTGGGCTCCTTTGGTGGTAGTGGCGGCGGTGGCGGGGATGGTTCCACGCTCTTAGCATTCTTTCTCTGCCATTGGCATATAAAGAAAATCTCAATGACAAACTCAAAAACCACTACTGTCAATGCACATGAAATAGCTTTTAGGTCATCCTTAGATCATGAATTTGGGTACCTTTCCAAATCTCTACTCAATTCATGATCTAAATATAGCCTTAGTGAATTGCTTCATCAATCAAAGGGGGGGAAAAACAATGAAATAAATAAATAACTTTTACACAACATCATTCAAAGTATAACATGTCCAAAATTATTTTTAAGAAATCCATGCCGTATGCAGCACTGAGAAAACTCCTCAATTCAGATGTAGAAAGGCTGAAAATGAAGACGCAAGTTATACACCAAAGGTGAAGCATCAACTGCAACAACCGAAGGTCTTTTATCCATGCATCATGAGCCGTCAAGTCTAAATTGGTCTGGTGCAACATGAGTACCAGAGCAAGCAAGCCTGGTAGAGTAGGGTTGATATTGTTTTTTGAGTCCCATGATATTGACTGAGTATCCACATTGGGTGTCAGCCATTTATTTAGAACTCCAACAGGTTTTGTCTGTGCATCTTGGAGACAAAGAAGAGTTTCGACTATTCAAAAATTTCTTCTTCTGTACACTAGTTAGAGCTCAAGTGTATTTGTCAACTGGGGATGCTTCACTTGTAATGAAGTCCACCAACAAAAAAGCAGAGTTAAAAAGTAAATGAGAGAACTGTAGTGAACTAAAATATATTCCCAATCTTAATGCCCCATTCAGTAAAAGGGATGAAACTTACAAAGGAAAGGTTGGACAGATGGAGAAGCTTGCCCAATAGAATGGGAAAAGTCTTTTCTTGCAAGAAGTCCAAAATACAAGAGAAAACCTCCTGTGAAGCTACAATATGAAATGTTCCATCTAGTAAAACCAACAAAAAGTTGAGAGGAATGAAGGTCAAAGGCATAAAAAGGCTACCCCTAAGGGTGTGTGTTTGGATCAAGGATTTTAGGAGGGATTTGTGGAGGGAAAGGAAATACGAAAGGAAAAGTGATTGAAATATAAGTTACATTTTGTTAAGTTTTCTCATTCTTTTTCCTTTCCATTTACAATTCACTCTTCAAATCCTTGATTCAAACACGATCTTCCCCTCTGCGCCCTTTTAGTCTTTACCATGCTATTTACCCTTGCGAAAATAATGCAGAGCTGTTGTATGCTTGTATTAGAAGGCAAATGTGTAGAGGATCTATTTTTTTCCTCTTTACTATCCACTTTTATGCAAAAAAAAATTACAGGCCCAGAGGGAAACTCTCCCCTCCTCTTTGCCTTTCCCTTTACCTTTCCTTTCTAACAAAAGGATTTAAACCCTCTGCATCCTCACTTTTCATTCTCCTCCTCTTATACTCTCCCTTCATTCATCCCCCCTCCCAAAAAACATGAGACGCATTCCCTGCTAGGCAATAGGTGCACCAAACACACCCCATAGCCATAAATATGCTAGCTATATGGGAACTACCATTTGACATGCCTTAATGTGTCAAAAGTGGTATGCCTCAATGAAAAATTACCACTATATATAAATAAATAAAAATCAGTCAAAAAGACACATAACAACAAAAATAAGAAAATAAACAAAAAAATTTCAACAAAATGGTAAACCAATCTAGAAGACTAGAATGTAACTTTAAGATGCACAATTGCACATTATGTGCACATAACAAAATCTCAAATGTTATCACTTACCCTACAGTTGGTATTAACTGCCAAATTTATTTAATGGTAATTTGTGATTGTTTGGTTTAGAGAGAGAAATCTTATCCTTATTCTTTGCCTAATAAACATCAGTAAATAGAGCATACTCAGTCAGTTGTCACAGAAAAAGGAAAAAACAATTAACACAATTTCATTTTCAACAAATTGATAAACCAATCTAGGACACAGAATTTCAGGTCAAAATATATATCATGTGTGGCATAAAGAAATTCAATTATTACCATATTGTTACCCCCCTCCAAATTTATGCATAGATCACAATTTATGATTGCTTGGTTTGTAGAAACTCGCCTACGCTTGTTGCGACTATTGGAAGCAACACCCAATGTCCTTTCTTCTGCAAAGATTAGCCCAAATCAGTATGCGATTTAGAGGAAGAGGAAAAGAAATAAAGCTAATAATGGGAATTACTTGAAAGACACATCATGACGTCTGCTAATTAAATCAATCAAATGAATGAAAAATAGCAATAACCCATTTTACCGCAAATACCACAAAGCCAACAATTATTTCTTATCAAATATCAAGCAAACCAGTTATGTAACACGATTATGTTACATGGACACATTGGCTTCCTAGAGCACGATTATGTTACGACGGACACATTGGCTTACCCCTTCCCCACAAGACAGGGTTTAGATGCGGCTACTCACATAGGAGAGACAGACAGACAGATAGATAGATAGATAGATATAGAGAGAGCATTACATTCACCTGTCACATCTTCTGTAGTCAGAATTGGAGCACTTCTGACTCGGGGAGGTAGCCATGGCTGCAACATAGATCTAGGTTTTGATGAATTTCCTCAAATAAGAAAAACACAGGAATCTTGAACAGTGTTTTAAAAGGCACGCCTGAGCCCGAGGCACAATGAGGCGCAGCCTTGCGCTTCAAACAGGTCGAGGCGAGGTGCAATACGCAAGGCCAAGCTTAGGCGCTGAGGCGAGGGCTTTTTTTTCGAGGCGCTGAGGCGAGGGCTTTTTTTTCGAGGCGCTGAGGCGAGGGCTTTTTTTTCGAGGCGCTGAGGCGAGGGCTTTTTTTTCGAGGCGCTGAGGCGAGGGCTTTTTTTTCGAGGCGCTGAGGCGAGGGCTTTTTTTTCGAGGCGCTGAGGCGAGGGCTTTTTTTTCGAGGCGCTGAGGCGAGGGCTTTTTTTTC